TTTTGTGTTGACAGTGAAAACGTCAGATTTATACTTATTTAAATAAAAGTCAATTTTCTTTTGTTTGATTGCTTTATCAGGTTCCACATTATAATCTAATCATGGGCATTTTACTTCTAAAAACCAGGTTGATATTTGCCGTCTCCACTGGCGACCAGAAATGAATATTTGTGGTATATTTGTAAACTACAGTCATGTATGTTAAAATTTGAAGCCCTCTCTAATTCTCGGAACGCTTTACGCTTATTGTTCACAATCACAAATCGCATCCACTCGGTAATTGCTTAACAAGTAGAGCGTAGTTAGTATTCTCAAGCCAGTATTGTAAACTCTGGCAAAACGTAAAGCTGTCAACTTTTGTTCTAGTTTTCAAGAGCGAGTTTACAACTGTAAAATAGTGCTATTGCACTCTTTTACAGAATCCATTTGTTCTGTTCTGGGGACAAACTGTAATATAAGGTCAAGTATTTATAAGCATAGTTGCGTAGTCTTTTACCTGCTGAACCCACAAAATTTCTTGAATGACATTTGATGTGTTGGATCAACCTTTGTATTCTGATCAGGAACATGTGACAGAATATTTGTTTTTATTCTTTAATTAATTTTTCACCGCACAGTATAGGACTTCTTTACTGTGCTGGTCACCAATTGTCACAGCGTTAGAGGAAGCATCGTAGCTTGTGCCGTACGAACGTTTACTCAACATGCGTCTGCAATTACGGCTTTCAATGGTATTCCTTGGGATGACATATTTCCGATGAGTGTTACATGCTTCACCTCTTCTTACCCAGCCTTAACCATACAATTATCCACCGGTTGTTCTCACCTCTTTAAACTTAATTACGCGTTGCTTTATACAAATGCAGAGGTACAGTGGGATGTATCTATAGGCAAGAACAATATGAAGCTGGATATATCCAGCACGAGTTGATATAATTCCTGCTATAACTTCCTGATTTGTGCCCTTTTCATTATCGCTTTAAAGCACTTCTCGACTTTTAAATCCTCAACACACATTTTGCAAACAATTTTATCATTTTAATGAAAGCCAGCTCTTTTTTCTCTTATTAATAATGCTGGTCAAGAAATTTCAATCATTCTCAGACATAAAATAATAAAACAAAATCTCATTACTTTTGAATTCTTCCGTCAAAATCAGAAATTGGGACTTCCTTACTTTGCCTAAAGTTAAAGCATAAAGTAGTAAGCACACAAACCTTGTTATTTATGTGTGAACATGCATACATAACCAGCTAGTATAAAATAAATCTACCAAATTTTTAACTAAATTATCTAAATGTCTTCGTTTTTTTTATTTGCTGAAAATAGCCTAGTTTTATTTTCCATTACGTCTGAATCATAACTTGTTGTCACTCTAAAATAAATATTGTCGACCATAAATAATAGTAATAAAATATTTTACTTTATAAAGAACTAAGACTTGTCGATAACAATATAATAGTGCGCTAACCTCTGGAATTCCTAGCGGTTGTCTAATTTGAATCGAGCCAAACGCGGAGTTTAGTTGTGGTTTTAGCGTACTTTTAAATTATTTATAGAAAAAATTAAAGAATTATTTTAATTTTAAAGAGTAAATTTTTAAAAAATGTTCTTCTAACATATTAAGCTCTAATTTTATTAAATTAAGTAACATAAATTGGTGAAAATTATCGTTTTATCCACAGTATATTCATAAAAATTTCACTTGGTTTGAAGTTTAAATTTCTTATGTAAACATATAAATCACAACTCCCTAAATCAAAATATATTTTCTACTAACTATTTTCTTTGGGATTTGTCTAATTGATTGTGTTTTTTAGTTTTGTAAAACTGTCAGCCAGTTTGAAATTGACGCTAAAAGGGAAATTAATAAAACCTCTCTTTATTTTTCTTGATAGCATCCTCATCAGTTTTTAATAGTACAACAAACGTTGTACTATTAAAAACTGTAAAAAATAAAAGATATTAAATTATTTAATTGTGATAATTCATGACAAAAATTGTTATATTGATTAAAACATACATATTTACTTATAGAGATAGTTTAATCTTATATAATTAAGTGTTTTAAGAATTGTAAAATTCGTCTTGTGTTGTTAAATATTTTATTTTTGTGAAATGTGATTTAAATGCCTTATTTGTTATTTTCATGCGTTATAGTTACTTTTTATCAAAATCATAATTTTTCTTTTAGTGGTAGTTTTTACGTGGTAGAGCCATGCTGCAGCTATATTAGTAGTATAGTTGTAGCACGAATGGGTCGGCTCGACCGGGGAGCCGGGGACCACGCTCTCACAGAATACCAGCGTCAAATAGCAGCTTCATGCTGCTGTGTTTCGTATGGTGAGTGTAGAGAATCGGAGACCCTTTTTACTGGAAAAAAAGGCATTCTATCTTAGTCCTCATGGATGACAACGCATCTGCATTTTGATTCGCAAACGAGGATAAATGTAGATGTCTATGGGCCACAGCAACCACTTACCATCAGGTGGACTGTGTGCTCGCTTGTCACCCTATCCTATAAAAAAAATATTTATAGAAATAAAGTTATTGGGAAAGTGCGATAGTGAAAAGTGTAAGCATACACCTTACGGTTTAACCCTTTTGGTGGGATAGCATCGCGCCCAATTTTCAATCCGTTCGGAAAGTTAGGAAAAACAGTTGGGTAACCGATCGGGAAAACAGTTCGGAAATAACATAATAAAAAGTAATCACGTTTTCCTCGGCAAAATTAATAGTGACACTGGTGTTTTCTTCAAGATCTTCCAGTGTTTACTCTGAGTTTAAGAAAACGAAGATACAGTTTATATACAAGTGCATACGATAGGTGTTAACCTCAGCTCTTGTAACTTGGAGACCGTCTGTGGTGCAGTATGAGGTCACGTGTTGTCGTGCAGAAGCAGCCGAGACGAACGATTAACCAAAGCTGGTTGGAGACGTGTGAGCTACTCCATCATTTTGTTTAGTTCTTCACAGTACACATCTGCATTAATTCTTATTCCGTTTGGTAAGAAGCTGTGATGAATCACACCGAAGCGGCGCTAGACCACCAAACAGTGACAATCACTTATCTAGGGGTAACATTTCGTTTAGGCCATTTTTAAGTAGTGAACTAGGATTCAATCAACTTCCTGAGCACTTGAAATTGTCAAACAGAGCCCATTTTTCGTCGTAGGTAACAATGCGGTTCAAAGTTTCTTCGTTTGTGTACCTGTTGAGCAGTACAAGGCACGGTTCAACGCGTACTTTGTGCTGGCGATCGTTGAGTTCGTGGGACAGCCATTTGTCAAGCTTTTTTACCTTGCCGATTTGACGCAAATGGACCAATATTGTTTTGAAACTAACGTCAAAAGCTACTGCTAATTTATACGTAGATTGAGTATCATCAGCTCTCATAATCGCCTTTAATTAGTCATTGTCGATTGAAGTTTTGGGACGATCACGGTGTTCACTTTTCAGGTTGAAGTTTCAAGAACGGAAGCAGGCAAACCAATAACAGGTGGTGCGTTCGTTTGTAGATTATCTCGGTAAACATCATTGATATTGGGTTCCACTAGTGCCACGTTGCTACTACGAATGGTACTCATATTCCATAATTACTCGAATTTTTAAAGTATCTATGATGACGAAAAAGATTCACATGTGATGAAAACATAACGCTAATCAATTAGCATATGACTAATTTTGAAAAATAAATTCCCTTATTTTAAATAAAGCTAATTTGAAATTAGAATTCATAGCCAAACAAAAATTATTTTGGTTTGGAATGACCAGAACTGCAAACGACAATTTCATAGGTAAAGACCTATTATAATTGATATGAAAACCATTCCAATTAATGAATTTGTGAAAGGCGATATTGAGGATTACTCCAAAAGCTTTCAGAATGATTGCTATAAGACCCAATCAATTTTGAACATGTAGCTTATAGAACGGAATTTGCAGGAATTATTTTATCAATGTATTTTTTTATATAGCACTATATTTATATATATAGTTTGGAGTTTTATTTATTTATTAATAATACAGAGTCCCGAAAACATCGCATAATGTCGCGTCTAGATAGCTAGATTGGATGAAAAATTATTCGCGATCATGTGATAATCCGTTATGATACCGTATTTGATACGTCCCATTTCGCATAAAGACTGATATCTGATACAACTCGCATTGGATACACGTTTCTAGATCTGTAGCCATGATGCATTTCTATTATGGTTTTATCACGAATGGGTCGGCTAGACCCGGATAGGACCACGCTCTCACAGAATATCAGCGTAAAATAGCAGCTTGATTCTGCTGTGTTTCGTATGGCGATTGCAGAGAACTGAAAACACCTTTACTAGATACAAGGCATTCCATCTTAAGCGTCAGGGGTGCAAACCCAACTGCATTATGATTCTTAATCGAGAATAAATGTAGATGTCAATGGGCGAAGATACTCGTATCTACTTATCATCAGGTAGACTATGTGGTGGTTTGTCACCATAATTGTATAAAAAATGGATGTATTTAATACATTTATTATACAACGATGCGATGCGATCTTTGATACGGCGGTTTCCATCTCTAGTAGGTTTTTCGCGATCATCAAAGGAGATACTACACGCTGCTATGCTTCCTTGAAAAGTTTAGACGTACACGTCAGAAAAACTTCATCAAATGTGGATCCGGGCTAATATTATATGTAGCCATCTTTGAATGGAGTTAATGTCTGTTAGCATATTAGTTACTTGACACCATAGTAATCGTTTGAACTCTTATAAAAATATTTTAAAAATAACTCTCTCTGACCTTATTTTTCTTATCGAAAATGTTTCATAGACTGTAAAAGAAATGTTTTAATAAAGTGAAAAACTAAGACTCAAATCAACCGTAATATATTATGTTATTCCTCAGTCGCTTAAGCTATGGGTGTTCATTTCTTATTCTTAATGTTTAGTGCGGTCAAAATAGACACTTTAACAAAAACTCCAACAGAGCTGAATTTTGGTAGAGACCTATAGTACGTTAGTAAAAATAAAGTGCCAAAGATCCCCATCGATCCCACGTGTACTAAAAAAGCTGTTCAGGTCAAAATTTTCGATATTTTGGATTTTTCTCGAAAACTGTAAGTTTTATCAAAAATATAGCCCAGATAAAATCACTACTCCTAAGATATCGAGATTCTAAAAGTTGAAGGTGCTATATTGTACATATGCACACATTTCCACACCACCTGTGAGGTAGTGTACTTGGCGCGTTTTTATTGCATGGTTTCCCCGGTAAGCTTACTCCACGATCTGTAATAATGGTGTTTTATGGGAAAATATTGTATTTACTGCATGATGATTATTATATAGGTTATTGATTTAAGCTGTAGTTCTGATTTCTGTTAATATTTTAATGACTCATACTCTTCAAATTTGACTTTAACAGTCATGTCTTCTTCAATTTCTTCTTCTTCATTCTCTTCTTCTTGCTGTATGTTCAAAAATTGTTTAACTAAAGATGAATCAGATGTCTCTTCATCGATATCATATGAATCTTCGTCTATTGGCTTCAATCGAACATTCGAGCAAGACTGACCCTGGCAATTAGTGCACGCTGGTGAACACAACAATCTTACTCTTCCACAGTCACATTTAGCATTACAACCATTTTTTTGCAATTGCAAAAATTAGTATTTAGGAGTATTCCCGGAGCAGGTAGGATTATATTTGAATCGGTTCCAAAGTATTATCACCCCCAGTTATCGTGTTTCAGTTTGATGCTCATCAACACTTGTATCGATTATTGCCTATAATCGATACAAGTGTTGATGAGCAGAAGCTGATATTGGACTTGTACTTGTTCCTCGTTCCGTGTATTTTTTACAAAAGTTAAATATCTTAACTTGCCAATACAATAAATTTTTTGGAGCTCCATAAACAGCAAGGAGAAAGTGAATACTTTTCGTGATTATCGTTTGCGGAGAAGAATCAATTTCTTCAAATACTTGAGCACAATCAAAAACTTCAAATAATTTTTATACTGATGTTTTACCCCTTCTCAACATTGCTGATTCAGTATCGTTGCCGGTTATCCCATGTAAAAAATAAAATATATTATAGGCATTTTGGATAAGCCTTTCCACGTTTTAAAAAGTATATAGTTTTATCAATTACAGTTAGAGCAGTAAGTAGTATTAACAAATCAACGCCACGTGGAAAATAGACTCGGCAGATGTTGATCATTACTATGCTGGTAGAAGGGGCTGACTAAGGGATTGCATTTCTTTTGAGTGTATACTATAATAATTATATTTGTCATACATATCAGAGACATAGATAGGCATTTTTATTTATATTAAGTGCATGACTATGTATACACGTGGCATTTGTGTGCATATCATTTAGATTTTAACACCTTCAACTTTTATAATCGCGATATCTTAGGAATGGTGATTTTTAGGAAAAGAGTATTGGAACTATTGTTGTAGATAGCTTTATGATCTACAATTTTTATCTGGGCTATATTTTTGATAAACCTAACCGTTTTTGAGAAAAATAAAAAAACAGTAATTTTTTAACCTTTGACCTTGAAAAACTTTTTTAGTACACATGGGATCGATGGGAACTTTTGGCACTTTATTTCTACTGGTGTACCAAAGTTCTGAATCAAAATTCAGCTCTGTCAGAGGTTTTGTTATTTGATCACTATTTTATATCTAATTTGAAGGGACTATTTATATCTGCCTGTATTGTTTTTGTTAATATTTTCCTAATAAGTATACTCGTGTAGTACCTACTTATAAGTTTTATCTATATCCATTATTTTAGTTTTGTTAAGTAATTTTACCTTCTACGTTTGAAAAGAAAGTAATTTATTTTATGCTCTCTGCAATATTTTAAAATTAGTTCATGCTGCGGTACCCCAGATTTCTAACAGGTAGTTGATGTGCGGCTTCACTACGGAACTGTGTATATATATTTTACGTTACGCGATAAGCTACGAGCTATGCCTCGGAAAGCTCCAGTAAACGATATGTATGCTGGGATCTATTCTGTTACCCAATTTAAAAATGGGTGTACCTTTGGCTATTTTAAGTTACCTACCTTACACAGTTTTAGCTCTTCAGCAATCAAATTTTTAACTCAACTTATAATAAAATAAAATAAATAAAAATTATCGACTTCGGAACTAGTATTTATATCTAAATTAAGAATTTATAATATTAATGATCTCATCAGTTTAATTGTAGTAGTTGGATTTAGCGCCGTTATGCCAAACCCAGTTATACTAGCGTCAACTTCTGTATTAGTATAACATATGTTTTTAGTAATTTGAGCAAATGGCTTGTGCAAAAGTTGTGCCAGCTGTTAGAAAGTTTTTTTGGTATTCATTTATTTATTTATTTACTGACTTTTTCTTTCGTTATAATTTTATTGGCACTGAAGATAATATATCGATGCTGTGATAATTATATTGGTGCGTTAGATTTCTTTTTGGTATTATCTTTGCATTTCAGCACTTCGATATACTGACAGTCAACTTGGCACCGCTGAAGGGACTGCAGCACCGCCCAAATTTCGACGGAATCAAAGGCTTTCTCATAGTCCACATACGCTAGACATAGTGGCAAATTGTACTCCTCGGACTTCTGTACAATTTGCCGAAGGGTATGTATGTAGTCTTTGGTGCTAAAGCACTTTCGGAAACCGGCTTGTTCGGGAGGCTGGACGTCGTCAAGTCTGCGCGCGATACGATTCATAATGACTCTCTAAAACAGCACGTAGACGCGGCTCAGAAAGGAAATCGGTCTGTAGTTCTTCAAGAGCGCGTTATCGCCTTTCTTGAAGAACAAGACTACCGCACTTCTGCTCCACGCCTCCGGTGTAATGCCACCGTGGAGGACGGAATTAAAGAGCTTCTGAAGGACTTCAGGTACCGGTTTTCCACCCGCTTTCAGAAGCTTCGCTCTAATTCCATCCTCGCCTGGCGCCTTGCCGTTTTTAAGGTGCTGGAGTGCCATTCTTATCTCGCTCAGCTGACGTCCGAGATATCTTCGGAATAGTGTCGGATAAGACTCGCTCTTGGATCGTTACTCACACTTGCGTGTGGTTCTAACGATGACGTGTACAGCTGCCCATAGAACCTCTCAATCTCACTCAAAATCTCAGGCGTCCCGGAAACGATGCTGCCACATTCGGTCTTCAGCTTTGACAGTTGGCTCTTTCTGGCAGACAGATCTCTGGCAAAGACTTTGGAGCCTTGGTTCTGCTCGATCGCTTCTTCAATACAAGCTATATTGAAGTTGCGTAAGTCCCACCGCATGCATTTGGAGATCTGTCTGTTCAGTTGCCTGTATGCTGTCAAATCTGTTGAAGAATGTAGCTTCATCTCCCGTCTAACAGCCATGAGATTGAGAGTGTGATTTGAGAGTTTTTATGTTCTTCTGCGGCGGATCTTGCAGAACTTAGCTCCGACTGCATGGACAGTTTCCACGAGCTTGTCATTCATATCGTCATCTTCATTGCAGTCTTCTAGGCACTAAAAACGGTTTTGAAACTCGAGCTGAAAGGTTTCGGGATTTGGAATAGAGCACGAGGGAAGACGGAGCGACGAAGCGGAGAACTTCATTAGACGAGACCTCTCCAACTTAACGTTAAGGTTCAGTGTGCCTCTAACCATTCAGTGACCGCTACCAGTTTTCACCCTCGCGATCACAGAGAAATCACAGAACAGTTGTCATTTGGTCGTCATCATGAAGTCAATCTCATTTTTTGTGGAACCGTCGGGACTGGACCAGGTCCAATTCCTGTGGGGCCGCTTCTGCTTGTACAGTAGGGCTACGATGGCTATCCGAGTACAGAATCAGAGTACAAAACCTATCCAATTGCAGAGAGGTGTAAGACAGGTTGATGTTATATCCCCAAAACTCTTCACCGCTGCATTGGAAGACCTTTTTAAGCTTCTGGACTGGAAATGATACGGTATTAACATCAATGGCGAGTACATCACTCACCTTTAATTTGCCGACGATATAGTCCTTATGGCAGAATCGCTGGAGGACCTAAGCACCATGCTCAATGACGTCAATAGTGTCTCCCAACGAATAGATCTTAGGATGAACATGGGCAAAACAAAGATCATGTTTAATGTCCATGTCACACATATGCCGGTAGTTGTTGGGAGCACTAAGCTCGAAGTTGTTGACGAGTATGTTTACCTGGGACAAATAGTCCGACTAGGTAAGTCCAACTTTGACCGAGAGGTCAATCGACGGATTCAACTCGGCTGGGCAGCGTTCGGGAAACTAAAACACATCTTCTCGTTAGACATACCTCAAAACCTAAAAACGAAGTCGTACAACCAGTGCGTGTTGTCAGTGATGACTTACAGATCTGAGACGTGGTCCTTCACTGCTGGCCGTATGAGGAAGCTGAAGGTCGCTCAGCGAGCTATGGAGAGGGCTATGCTCGGGGTTTCTCTGCGTGATAAAATTAGAAATGACGATATCCGCAGTAGAAACAGAGTAACCGACATAGCCAAACGTATTAGTAAGCTGAAGTGGCAGTTGGTCGGCTATATAGCTCGAAGAACCGACAACCGATGGGGAAGAAAGGTTCTCGAGTGGCAGACTCGTACCGGTAGGCGAAGTGTAGGGCGACCCCCCACGAGATGGAGTGACGACCTGGTAAGACATGCAGGAAATCGATGGGTTCAGGTGGCTCAGGACCGTGCTTTGTGGCTGTTGTTTTCTTGGAGGAGGACTATGTTCAGCAGTGGACTTATGAAAGGCTGTAATGATAATGATGATTATCTTTGCATATTTTAAGTTAACTTGCTTACGACAGTAAGCATCTTTATTTATTTGTATTTCTACGGAAACTTGCTTTCTTCAATTAAAAATTGTTCATGAGTTTGTCTGTGTTGATTTTTATTGATGGAGTTTGTAAATGCGTTAATGATTTATGAATTTATTTAATCTGGCTTTGGTGGGCTTAATAGTTTAGTTTTCTTCACACCACAAAATATGATAGTCATAATTAAATTGTTTTCAAATTTAATGAAATCGCTATTATTATTGTCTGTAGTAGTTTTTTCTGCTAACTTTTTATAGTCCATAGATTTGTATTGAGTTCTTCGTTTGATTCGATTAATCTCAAAGAATATCTGTTTATGGTCATACATTTATGATTCTATAATAGTAAATTAAATAACTCATTCGTTAAATTGGTAGAAACAATCTAACACTATCTTTATCCTTTATGTTTCCATGGTGCAATATTTGAAAGTGATTTTATTTACAATTTGAACTGTATTTTCTTGGAAAGTGTCATTATAACCCTCGACTATGGTGGCATTAGGATCCACTAAGTCAATAATGAAATCACCAAAGGTATTACTTGATTTATTTGCAAAGAGTATCCAATAAGAATCCAATAAGAGTTTGTTCGTCCAGGTCTGTATACAGTGCCGATATAAGTGCAATATTTTTCATCATATGTCCTTATTAGAATAAGGAAAGACGTGAGTGACTGTGTAATAGCGGTGAAAAAATATTCAACACCCCACATCGTCCGTTGGGTTTCGTATGAAGTGACAGAGAAAAACAAGTCGGGAGAAGAACAAAACACTCAAAAAAATAAAAAAATCATGCGTTATAGTATATTATTATTGATAAAT